TCTGTTCTCATAATACAATTTTTTTTGCCCTTCTTATCAGGCTGGTTAGGATTGACGAGTAACGTTTTGTTTGGTCTCTGGTTATGTGACCCATTCTGTACTGTTTTTTCATATTGGTGTTTTGTATTTATGGATTTGAGAATGCTGGGTGTTAACCAGGGACTGTTCAGTCTCTTAGCTGTCATCTGTTTAGTTTTTTTAGGGCAGTGCTTGTTATAGAGGTATTGGGTCTTTTTTTAGAAAATTATTAATACATTCGTCAATATCTGTATAGATTTCTAGCTCAGTGTGCCAGTCAATGTTTGCTACTGCTGTTGTGAAGTTATTAATGGCTGCCTCATTGTGAAGTCTGAAGGTGACTTTAGTAGTGTCTTGGGGTAATTTACCAAGAGTTGTTATGAGAAAAGTAGGGTAGTGGTCTGTGGTATTATCTGTAATTATGCCTGATTTTAAAGGGATATGGTGTTGGTCCAGATGTGGTCAAGTAGGGAAACACTAGTCTCTGTAACTCTTGTAGGTTTTTGTTACTGTTGGTAGCAACATACAGTTACTCATTGTGTTTGTGAATTCAGTAACGTGTGGGTCCTGGTCTTGCAGGAGATTTATATTGAAGTCACCTGAGAGTAGTAAGTGATCTTTGTTCATGCGTGCATCAGTTATCATACTTCCTAGGTTTTGACTAAATTGGCTAATGTTTGACTGTGGAACTCTGTAAATGTTTATCAATGTGAGAGGTTTTTGTAGGTATTTGGATTTGAATTTGGCTATTATATATTCCCCATGTTCATCCCTTGTGCAAGTATTAGTGATACATTCTAGTTGGTCTGAGTAGTATATGGCTGTGCCACCCCCTTGTTGGTCTGGCCTACAGTTGTGTATGGCTGTGTAACCAGGAATGGCATAGACATCTGTACTATCAGGCTTTAGCCAGGTTTCAGTTAGTGTAATGATGGACATATTGGCATGTAAGGAATTTAGTAATGCTATGAGGTCATCGTAATGCTTGCTTAAAGATCTGATATTGTAGTTAAAGATAGTTATGTTGTTGTTGGCACTGAGAAGTGCCTTTGATTGTTCTGCAGTGTAGTAATTACAGTAACTGTTTGAATCATTTAAGTCGTTAAATAAGAGGTTGGTATCAGGATCAATGCTTGTAATCATAAGATTTGTAGTGAATCTATAGTTAGAATTAAGTATAAAACAAAGTAAATAGTCTTAAGCTAAAAAATAGCACCTGAATTATTTAACAAATGTAAAATAATGAGCTAAGGTAGTTTTGGAATATAATGGCAAAGTTGTGAACTTATTCTACTTTAGCACCTGAGAATTTTTTCTTTCAGTGGAGTTGTAAAATGTAAATAGTCACTAAAACATACAAAATAAATGATTCTGGAATAAAAATAAAATGAGAATACAGTATCACCAAACTGCTAAACTAACATGGTAAGTAAGAGTATTTGTAAGATTATACCTGGAGTATACCTGGAGAGGGTTTCGGGGTCAATGCCCTCACAGTCCATTCTGTGACCAGACCTCGTGGTGGATCAGGGCCTGATCAACCAGGCTGTTACTGTTGGCCGCACACAACCCGATGTACGACCCACAACCCGGCTAGTCAGGTACTGACTTTAAGTGCCTGTCCAGTGCCTTCTTGAAAACAGTCAGGGGTCTATTGGTAATCCCCCTTATGTATGCTGGGAGGCAGTTGAACAGTCTTGGGCCCCTGACACTTATTGTGTTGCCTCTTATCGTGTTAGTGGCACCCCTGCTTTTCATTGGGGGATGTTGCATCATCTGCTGAGTCTCTTGCTTTCATATGGAGTGATTTTCATGTGCAAGTTCGGTACTAGTCCCTCTAGGATTTTCCAGGTGTATATAATCATGTATCTCTCCCTCCTGCGTTCCAGGGAATACAGGTTTAGAAACCTCAAGCGCTCCCAGTAATTGAGGTGTTTTATCTCCGTTATGCGCACCGTGAAAGTTCTCTGTACATTTTCTAGGTCGGCAATTTCACCTGCCAAGTTTGGTACTATCTCTCACGGATTTTCCAAGTGTATACAATCATGTATCTCTCCCGCCTGCCTTTTAAGGAGTACACAGTGAGGAACTTCAAGCGTTCCCAGTAACTGAGGTGTTTTATCACAGTTATGTGCCGTGAAGGTTCTCTGTACATTTTCTAAGTCAGCAATTTTGCCTGCCTTGAAAGATGCTGTTAGTGTGTAGCAATATTCCAGCCTAGATAGAACAAGTTACCTGAAGAGTGTCATCATGGGTTAGGCATCCCTAGTTTTTAAAGTTCTCATTATGAATCCTGTCATTTTTCTAGCAGATGCGAATGATACAATGTTATGATTTTTGAAGGTGACATCCTCTGACATGATCACTCCCAGGTCATTTACATTAGTTTTTTGCTCTATTGTGTGGTTGGAATTTGTTTTATACTCCGATGTAGTTTTCATTTCCTCACATTTTACATATTGAAATAATTGAAATTTCTCATCATTGAACTTCATATTGTTTTTTGCGGCCCATTTAAAGATTTGGTTGATGTCCACCTGGAGTCTTGCGGTGTCTTCAATGGATGGCACTGTCATGCAAATTCGGGTGTCATCTGCAAAGGAAAACATGGTGCTGTGGCTTGCATCCCTCTCTATGTCAGATATGAGGATGAGGAACAGGATGGGAGCAAGTACTGTGCCTTGTGGAACAGAGCTTTTTACCGTAGCCGCCTCAGACTATTCTGTTGAATACTACTCTTTGTGTTCTATTTGTGAGGAAATTATAGATCCATCTACCAACTTTTCCTGTTATTCCTTTATCACGCATTTTGTGCGCTATTACACCATGGTCACACTTGTCAAATGCTTTGGCAAAGTCTGTATATATTACATCTGCATTTTATTTGTCTTCTAGAGCATCCAGGACCTTGTCACAGTGGTCCAGTAGTTGAAACAGACATGAGTGACCTGCTCTAAACTTATGCTGCCCTGGGTTGTGTAACTGATGGTTATCCAGATGGGTGGTGTTCTTGCTTCTTAGAACCCTTTCAAAGATTTTTATAATATTTGATGTTAGAGCTATTGGTCTGTAGTTCTTTGCTATTGCTAACTGCCCCCTTTGTGGAGTGGGGCTATGTCTGTTGTTTCTAGCAGCTGTGGGACAACCCATGTCCATGCTCCCTCTCCTTAGGATGTTAAAAGTTCATGATAGGGGCTTCTTGCAGTTTTATTTATTTATTTATTTAATGTCTTTGCAAACAGTACATTGAGATTGTGTATATACAATAGTGGAATGCAATGCAAAGAGAGCCTCTATTATGCCTTGGCATTATGGGCCAACTTTAACATTATTTGCTTACATTCATCTTAATACTAAGAAATAGTATATCATAGTTGTACAGTAGGAAAGTAATTATTGATGAACACGGAGTTCCATGAGTCTGGGCCCGAGGCAGAGTGCATGGGCATGTCATTTATCACCTTTTCAGAGTCATCTGGCATCAGAATAATATCAGATAAATTTGAGTTTATCAAACTCTCTATCTCATAAAAAATTTATTTAGGTCTTCGACTCTCAGTCTGGTTAGCAGCTCGCTAAAAACAGAGTCATATTGGGATTTGAGTAGCTCACTCATTTCCTTGCTTTCATCTTTGTAGGACCCACCTTGTTCAAGTAGGGGCCCAATACTGGATGTTGTTCTCAACTTTGATTTGGCATAAGAAAAGAAATATTTTGGGTTTCTTTCTATTTCATTTATGGCTTTTAGTTCTTCCCACATTTCTTGACTCCTGTGTTTGACGATGCTATACAAGGCACTTCACGGCAAAACAATAAATAAATAAGTTGTACATGTATGGTATACAATACTGACAAGATGAAGAATTAGACACATGCAACATCAGGGTATCTTTATTTGTAAACATTTCACCATGCAGTGGTGAAATGTCTAGAAATTCAAGGCCATAATGGGAAGACTGTAGAACTATATACAAAAAACAATAAGCGCCACCACAGACAAACTCTGGGTTGGTAAATAAATCAATTCCTTAATGTTTCATATGTTTATAGAAATGTATAAATATTGTCAGCCTCATAAGTTAGGCTCAAGAGCCCATAGCAAAATATGGCAACTTGACCTTGATAGTCCCAATCTCCGATATCTGCATTTTTCTCCAGTGAATGTGGTGCTTATTCCTGCCATGCAGTGCCTGATATATCATAAACACTGATCAATAAACAGGTAAACCCTACATAAATGGAAAATTGAAACAGGAAGTAGAAAAGGATGCATATATTTAAGTTTAAATCAGAGATATTTATCAATAAACACATACTTCAACAGACCCCTCAGCAGAGATGCCTTGATGCTGGAGATGGGCTCTTGATCCAGGGAATTAGACCTATTCTTGACTCACAAAATCGTAATGACACGATTGCAAACAAACCATACCACGGGCGGGATTGAACCCACGGTCAGAGTGTCAAAACTCCAGACCGTCGCGTTAGCCACTGGTCCAGTGGCTAACGTGACGGTCTGGAGTTTTGAGACTCTCTGACCACGGGTTCAATGCCGCCCATGGTATGGTTAGACCTATTCTTCTTCTTCTTATATCACACCTAATTGCCTCCCATTTTCCCAAATGCTGCATTACTCTACAGATTTATCACTCCTTCCCGTGAATGTAATAAAAATAACAATGCTTCAACAGAGATGCCCTTAAACATGTTGGATTTTATTTTAAATGGGAATGAGCTAAACCTGTAAGTGTCATACACCACCTGGAGAAGAGACATTCAAATTCAATCCAAGGATAGGGAAGGCAAGTCAAGTTCCTTGGATCAAGAGTCCCTCACTGGAATAAAGGCACCTCCCATGAGGGTAACATCTACTGAAGAGAATCTCTGATTGAGGCCAATATAAGATAACTAGCCTTTTCTACTCCATGTTATCTTTTCTGTCAATGTGAGATTTATATGTTCATCTCTGAAGATCTCCTCACCATATCACTGAAGATAAGAGGGTAAGACATGAGTGAAGAGGTTGCTCGTTGATCTTTGTATGGCAGGAAGCGACAGTTCTCATCAGGTTCTCCTCGAGTCGTTAGTGTACATATACTCCTCCCTCTCCTGTCTCTGCAAAGTGTCAAGAATGCTTATTCGTTACAGATGTCACTACAGCTAACCGATACAAACCATAATTCAGATATAAACAATTCTGTAATTCTTTCAGACTAATACAAAATCTACTATATTAGGAAAGCAAAACATTATCACAAAATAATAATTTGTCCTAGGTTGTAGGAGGGTAGACAGCAACCACCCAAGGAGGTATTACTGTCCTGCCAAGTGAGTGTGAAATGGAAACCTGTAATTACTTTCCATTGCTGGTGTTTTTTCTGTCTCGTAAACGTGCAAGATTTCAGGTACATCTTGCTACTTCTACTTACATTTAGGTCACACTACACATCCATATATATACACACACCCCTCTGGCTTTTCTTGTATTTTCTTCCTAGTCCTTCTTGTTTATTTCCTTTTATCTCCATGGGGAGGTGAAAAAGAATTCTTCCTCTGTAAGCCATGCATGATGTAAGAGGTGACTAAAATGCTGGGAGCAAGAGGCTATTAACCCCTTCTCCTGTATATATTACTAAAGTGAAAAGGAAAAACTTTTGCTTTTCCTTTCATGCCACTCTGCCTTGGTGGGATATGGCCTGTATATTGAAAGAGTAATAATAAGAAGAAAACCTTTAATAAGAATATTTTTTTAACACATTGACTGTTTTCCACCGAGGTAGGGTGGCTTGCCAAAGAAGAAACACTTTTATCGTCACTCACTCCATTACTGTCTTGCCAGAGAAGTGCCAATACTACAGTTAAAAAACTGCAACATATTTCCACACCTTCTTCAAAGAGCAGGTAATGCATTCTCCAACTCCAGGACTCAAGTTCAGCTAACCGGTTTCCCTGAATCTCTTCATAAACATTACTTTGCTCACACTCCAACAGCATGTCAAGTCATAAAAACTATTTGCCTTCACTCACTCCTATCTAACATGCTCATGCACACTCTCTGGAAGTACAAGGCTCTAGCACACAAAACCTCCTTTACCCCCCTCCCCAACCTTTCCTAGGATGACCCCTACCCCACCTTCTTTCCACTACAGATTATATGCCTTCAAAGTCATTCTATTTTGTTCCATCCCTCTCTATATGTCTGAATCACCTCAACAACCCCTCCTCAGCTCTCTGGATAAAACTTTTAGAAACCTCGTACTTCCTCCTAATCTCCAAGCTATGAATTCTCTGCATAATATTCACACCACACATTGCCCTCAAACATAATATCTCCAATGCCTCCAACCTTCTCCCTGTTGCAATATTCACCACCCATGCTTCACTCCCATATAAGAGTGTTGGTACCACTATACTCATATACATTCCCCTCTTTGCTTCCAAGTGTAATGTTCTTTGTCTCCACAGACTACTCAGTGCTTCACTCACCTTCACTCCCCTCATAATTCTATGGTTCAACTCATCTTTTGTAGACCCATCTGCAGACAAGTCATCTCCCACATATGTGAATACATTCACTTCCTCCATATGCCCTCCCTCTAATTTGATATCCAATCTTTCATTTCCTAAATATTTTTATCTTCATCACCTTGCTCTTTCCTATGTTCACTTTGAATTTCATTCTTTTACATACCCTTCCAAACTCATTCAACAATCTCTGCAACTTTTCTTCAGAATAACCCAAAAGCACAGTGTCATCAGCAAAGAGCAACTGTGACAACTTCTACTTTGTGTTAGATTCCGTATCTTTTAATCCCACACCTCTTTCCAACACCAGTGCATTCACTTCTCTTACAACCCCATCCATAAATATACTGAGCAACCATGGTGACAGTGTCATACAGAGGTCTGGTGATACCCGGGGCTGACTCATTGATTGTATGCCCCAAAGACTCAAGTATAGGGCTTAGTACTGAGAAATATTATGAGAAAGGGAGATATTTTCAACATAAAAATACAGATGAAACGTGAAATAAATACTTTATTCGATTTAACCCTTTGAGGGTCCGTCCCATAGATCTACGGCTTTACGTTCAGGGTCCAAACCGTAGATCTACGTCATGAGCTCAGCTCACTCTGATAAACTGTGAGTGGTACATTTGGGCCTAGATATGACAGAATACATCTATGTGGTATGTGTGCACCACATAAAACAGATCCTGCAGCACGCTGTGTATAATGAGAGAAAAAACTGAAATCATGATTTTTCGATTAAAACAGCGACTTTGCAGTGTTTTTTCGTATGTTTTTTATAGTTCTATTTGCGATTTCTTGTTCTCATTTGATAGAATGGAAGACATATTACAGAAATAGAGATGATTTTGATTGGTTTTAGCATTGGAAATGGCTTGAAACTGAGCTCAAAGTAGCAGAAATGTTAAATTTTTGCCGATATTCAAGAGTAAACAAACGACCTCACACGTCTAATACACGTCAGCTGGTGGGTCTAATATGCATTCACAAATATGGTGATGATATTTATACAATTATTACAGTATTGCATAACAATAACTCTTCTATTTTTTGGTGTGAATAAAAATTCATTATGTGAATAAAAAATCAAAATGGAATTTATTTGTAAAGCCTCAAAACGTAACTAATGAACAGAGGAAATGTTAATTTAGTTCCAGGAATACCTACATTGTTTATTCTGGACCCTATTTTGAAATTGGAATATTTTGAACTTTGTGTTAAATTGACCAAATTAACAATTTCAGATCACTTTAATTTGTAGTTGAGAGAGTTGACTTGGCGATTTCTTGTGCTCAATCGATAGAATAGAAGTAATACTAGTGAAATAGCTAAGAATTTGGTTGACTGGAGTAATGTAATTGGCCTAAAATGGGAGTCAAAGTCGGCAAAATCGCCGATTCGTAAATATCGCTGACACATCAAAATTCGTGAGAGCATAATTTCGTCAATTTTCCATCAAATTTCGTACTTTTTGTTTTATTACCCTCACAAAAAGATTCTCTACCATTTCATAAGAAAAAATAACAAATTTTTTTTTTTTAAATTCTTGGACACTGGGGCACCACTTCAGATTTGGGCCTTGGACCCTGAAGGGGTTAAATATAAATCGACCAAATTTATTAATTTCTTTTCCCCAAATGATACCTCCTGTCAGAAAATACGTGAAACTACTTCACTTTTTACATCAACTGTGAGAAATTCTTTTTCAATGCTTATTCAAGCCAGGTTGGTCAGTCGCTCCTGTGACATTGGAGACCTCAGATATGTTTTTATTAATTTCAGTTTTGAAAATGACCTTTCACAACTTGAAACTGAAAATGCAATTGTAAGCAGTAATCTGTATGAAACACACAGCGTCGGAAAGACATCCCTTCCATACTGCAGTAAAGACTCCAGAGCATCTTGAGGATCGGGGGAATTCTATTCCCTCCAGCTCAAAGGAGCATCACAATATCAATAATTTCGTCATATAACTGAATGGCTGCCACATCATTATCATAATAATTTGCAAAGTCTGAACATTCCTTTTTTAACTTCTTTCTTTTTTGTTCATCTTCAGTTACTACTGAATTCAAGTTCAGAAGAAATGAAAAATCAGTCACTGAATCCTTGAAGACGAACGCTGAGTCCTTGAAGATGGACACTGCAGTCTTCAATTTCCATTTCTAATCGGTTCACAATCTTTACCATAACGCTATTCATTTCTTCTTGTGCCATCAGTCCACTATCTCTCGCTGACTGTTCAGGCATTATTCTTCTTCTCCTTGTTTGTGCAATTGATAGTCCCCAATTTTCACAATATTCATTAGCCAAGTGTATTGCATTGTGGATAATTTCGTCATTCTTCAAATTCAAGATATGAATAAGTCCTTTCAAATCACAAGAAGCTTCATGGAACCCCATTTTCGGATCCTGCGAATGTTTTGAGACTTTCTCCACTGATGATAAATCTGTGTGGCGGCACCATTTTCTCTGGACAGAAAGGGTACACCGTGTTAAAGGAATAAAGGGCTAACCACTCCCTCTGTAGTGTGGTGAGCCTCCAAAAGCTGATTTATCACTGCTGAAATTTCAAAATCACTATCTTATTTCCCTCTCTAATTGGATGCTACCCCACCCATTTGGATGCCCAGGCCACCACCCCTTTGGCCTCCCCTCCTCTGCACGCCACTGCATGGTGACATCACACATCCCTGTCTAAGGCCTACTTTTACTGGGAAATACTCTCCCTCTCTCCTATATACACTAACCTGAGCCTCACTAGCCTCGTAAAACCTCTTCACTGCTTTCAGTAACCTACCACCTAATCCATACACTGGCAACATCTGCCACATTGCTTCTCTATCCACCTTATCATAAGCCTTTTCCAACTCCATAAATGCAACAAAATCCTCTTTGCCCCTTATTTAAATATTATTCACTTATATGCTTCTCTATAAACACCTGGTCTACACATCCCCAACCCTTCCTAAAGCCTCCTTGTTCATCTGCAATCCTGCTCTCCATCTTACTCTTAATTCTTTCAATAAGTCTACCATACACTTTACCAGGTACACTCAAAAGGCTTATTCCCATAAAACTCTTACACTCCCTTTTGTCCCCCTTGCCTGTATGTAAAGTAAAAGGACACAAGTGCAACTAATGTGACATTTTATTGTGGCAATATGTCAATTATAAGGGAACGGCAGCGGCAGCAACGGTATCCTACCAGCTCTTCTTTCTCAAAAAAACATCGCCCATCAAAACTTGTGATGGCCTAAGTGAAAGTTCAACTACATGAACCCACGTAGACCACAACATGACCCAAGAATACTAAGAATGTAACCCAAATCTTGACAAAATTAGAAGATCTAAGGAAGACAGCCCTGCTAACCCAAACACTGCCTCCGCTGCCAGACAATCACTTAACCCAAGCTCCGAGAAAACAAGCCTTCTCCTCCATTGCTACACAGTATCTACTTCAGTGAACTATGAAAGGATATGCAGAAGAAACAACACCTAATAAAAAATAACAGCAAGGCCCTAGAAACCAACTTGCCCTACCCAGCAGACCCAGTGTATCATCAACCCCCCTCACCACCCCC